GACGTTAATATATACATATATATAAATAAAAAATAAGACATATTTAATGTGATTAATTTATTTATGTGATAAAATTTGTATAACATATGCAAAAGTTTCTTAAAATATGAGTCGAAAACGTTCATCATGTATTCCAATGTACAATGAACATATTATAATTTAAATATTTAAATAAAATTTACTAATAAATTTACGACGTTTGCTACCAATTCAATCTTAATATTAAAATTAGAGAAGCATAGTTTATGCATGCAAGGCTCGTGAATGCATAACATGTACTACAATCTTTTAATGAACAAGTATAAACAAAGAATTAAGTAATAAATTATTTTTTAATTTATAAAATAAATATTTTTTTTTTAATATAGTGAGTAAATAAAAATGAACGAAAGAAGTAACTCTCGCCTAGTACACATCTTAAAGAATGATCAAGATGAAAGTATTTTGATCCATCATTCATTTTTACTTGTTTATTAGCTCACAAATAAAACTATTTTTTCATAGATTGCATTTTCCACTTAAAGTGGGACCTCGGATATAATGCAAATTCAAATTATTCATTTTGTTCATTTTTATTTGTCATATTTCATTTTATAAGAGTTAATTTGATTAATCTTTGAACCTACGTGGATTAAATTAATTTAATTATTTTAAAATATAAATATAGGTATTTGAAAACTATATAGAAAATATTATAAATTATAATTTTTCTCATATTTATATGATAAAAAATTAGTAGATTTTTCTGTAAAATTATATTTGTATTAATAAAATTATTAAATATGTACACATATTAAATTTAGAATTCAGTTATTATAATGGTAAAAATTTAGAACTCATAAAATTGAAATTCTAACTTTGTTCTGGATTTATAGAGTGCTTTGTTTTATTTTCTTAACTATTTTTTATTAGTTTCTATACTCTTTCTGTCCCTTTTTACTTATCTTTTTTTTTTTTACAAAAACTAATATACCCTCAATTTATTAATATTAAGATGTCTTTGAAAAATGCAGTGAGTAAAGATATTTGAGATCCTATCAATTAATAGGAGTAAAATGGTAAGTTCACTACAATAATCAATATTTTCTTAATAAGTGTGTCAAGTCAAAATCTGACAAGCAAAGAGAAGAGGGAATACTAATCTACGATGTATGAAATATCATTAAAGATAGTGTTATCGACACATTTTAAGTTTTTAAGAATTTCTTATATTATTCGTGATTAAGTATTTTTCATAAAATTTTGTAACAAAATATAAAGAATTATCATACCTTGATAAGAATATTTTGTGTAGAAGCAACAATATTACCTAAATACCAGAAAATGGCTCCCTTGAATCTCAAGACTCGTTCATTTTAAATTAGTCAAATTAATATCGAATGTCAAATAATCTAAAAAATTACAATCTAAAATCCTTTGTTCTTTTTTATTTATTACGTTTCGCTTCTCAAGAATTAAATTGTTAGAATTTAACTAATATTTTAAAATTATTTTTTTAATCATATTAATATGAGAGTGATTGAAACTTACTTTATTTTTTATTTTTTTGAAATATCTATTTTAAATTTGAAATTAGGAATCAATTTACTTCAATCTAGCTTAAAAATTAATTAAATTATTTTTTGTGAAGTAAAAGAAAGAAAGAATACTAATTAGGCAACTTGGAAGTTATACATTATTAGTAGGCGTTTGACCATGCAATACCATATCACGATATGGAATCATGAGATGAAATTTCATATTCTCCAAAAATCATGATATGGGATTCCATATCATGATTTTGAATTTTTAAATACAAAAACTGATCCATAAGTTTATATTTTGTTAGAACAACCTCACATTTATATTTACTAACTATTTATTTCATATGTAAATAAAATTTATAATCATATCATTACTTTTTAAAATTTATTATTCTCACCAACATAAAAAAATTTATTACTTTAAATTTGATGAATATAAATGATAAAGTAGGAATTGATTTGGTGAATATAAATAAGAACGGGGGGAGTAATACTTTTGTGTTTTTTCATAATAAAAAAAACATTCTCTTTCGGCTACATGTGAAAATGTTTAAAGCAATTTAATATGAAAAAAGAACAAAATTGGTGATGTATGTTTGATAATCACTACTTTCAATATGTTTGATTTTAGTACGAAATTAATGCACTAAAAATGTGTAATTATTGCACACAAGTGAAACAAGATATGAACCATCATGATATTGACATGCAAGTGAAAATTGTCATAACTTGTGCACTGTTACATAATTATTTGCGAGAATACCAAAGGAGTGATGAAATGTTTATGGTCTATGAGCATGAAAATATAGTTGCGAATGATATTGACCAACAAATGACTCAAAGTAACAATGTCGTCTTCTCGGTCATATGATCGAGAAATGCAAGTTCAACGTGAGGAGATTGTTCATACTATGTAGGGGAATATATTAAAAACTAGTACACTACAATTCATGTTTAATTTTTTTATTGACTTAAAGTTTGATCAATTAAAGTTAAATGAAACAGTTACTTAAGTGAAGAACAAATAGCTTTGTAATAATTTATTATGCAATTTTATAAATTTTTGTTTATTTGGTAAGAATAAATAAGCAATTAGGGTTATTTTAATAGTTTTACAACTTATGAGATTCTTATGTTTATGAAAAAATATAAAACACAAAAATTTCATATCGCATGTCCAAACAAAACTTCAATTTCATCTCATGATTTCACATTATGATATCATATGACGGGCCCTAAATTTTGGACGAAATCGTGTGGACAAATTTTCACCACAAATTTACGAAAACAATAATAAAAACGTGGTACAATTCAAATTTGGCATTTACTTCTTGTACCCTCATATTATTATTATTTTCCCTCTTGTCTTCGATATTTATATTTAATTTTGAATTTACGTATTTTAGAGTTTATTTTTTGAAGTATGTTTTTTATATATAAAAAAATTATTCTCAAACTTCAAATCTAAGATTGTCGGTACCCTTTCAAGAATTATTATTTTATCTTATATACTATTATATAAAGCTAAGCTGTGAAACTTGATCATAAATACTTCTTGTACCCTCATATTATTATTATTTTCCCTCTTGTCTTCGATATTTATATTTAATTTTGAATTTACGTATTTTAGAATTTATTTTTTGAAGTATGTTTTTTATATATAAAGAAATTATTCTCAAACTTCAAATCTAAGATTGTCGGTACCCTTTCAAGAACTATTATTTTATCTTATATACTATATATAAAGCTAAGCTGTGAAACTTGATCATAAATATCTTTCAACAAAGTTTTAAATTCACATAAACTCGAAAGCTAAATTGGGTTTTATACCTAACTACTTCACTTTTTGTGGACTTTGATTTTATTTATATCTTTGTGATTAGAAAAATTATTTTTAATAGACTCTCAAGAAAAGTGTTTTCAAAATAGATTTGAAAAATATAAAAGTAAAACAAGCTATAATGAAAATATTGAAGTAAAGAAAAGTATTGACAACAAAAATGACATGATTCTAATATACTTTTTAATTTAACCTTAGTTGGCATTTATATTCTTCAATTTTGGGTGAATAACTACTTAAATTTGTATATAATTTAACAAGTAGACACACATGTCTTACATGACATAGTACACATCGGGCGCCACATAGGATGCCTTATAGGGAGTGAATTATCACATAAGACGCTAAGTAGGACATGTGTTTTATTTGTTCAGTTTTAAACCAATTTAAGTGTTTACTTGTGTACACTCAAAGTTGAAGATTATAAATATCAGATAAGTCAATTAGTTAAAGGACACATTCATGTATTATGCTAAAAGAAAAATCGCTTGATTATCTACTGATCTTCTATGCTAATTATGATTTGTATGTTTTTATGCGATCATATCTTTGACAGAAAATAACTGTAATTGTTGGATATAAGACACATGAAAACATACTCGAATAATTTTTATAATACTCAAATTATTTTTATAATTTTTTTACCCAGATAAGACACGTGGCAACAACTCAAATCGATTCTTATGTGTTATAGTATGATCATAAAGAAATAAAAAGAGTGCATAACCTAATGAATAAGATGATAGCCGCACTTGTGTAATCACGCAAGATAAATTTAAAAATAATAGAATATACACATATTTTATCTCTATTTTTATAATAAAAATGTTATTTTCAATAAATTCTCAATTCAAACGAAAAATCATCTTACGTACATGCTTATAAGCAAAGATACAGTAAAGTAACAAATTATAAATAAATACAATAACAAATAGTAATACACATAAAAAAAAAAACTAAATAAAACTACTACAAGGATCCGAAGAAAATAGAATTATCTATAAATAAATAAAAAAGAACTTAAAGGGTTCTGGAACTAATGCAAAATTAAGAATCTGTTTAGATTAGTTGACTGAAAGTAATTGATAATTATTAAGAGTTAGATAAGATATTTTTTTCGTGTTGAAATTGATTTTAAAAATTAATGGTTACATATTTAGATAGAACACTTGAAATTAATAATGTTCAAACCTTAATTGATAAGTTATCAAGTTACTCGATATTTGTACAAGAGGAGAATTACATATTGGCACGTTCACAATACACTATCATGATCACATATCTAGATTTTATTAATGACTTGAAGATGAAGTCGCCTATTTCTTAGGGCAAAAGACACTCCATCCTTCTAACTCCTTTTACGGATAGAAACTAAAACTCGACTTTCGAGGAAGAAGTCTATGGAGAATATCTGAAAATTACTACATGAAAGCCTTGAAGTATCAGTAAAGTTGTCTACATGTAATTTGTAGCTCGTAAGTTCAAGTTGTGGAAGCAACCACTAATGTTTGCATTAGGGTAGATTGTCTACATCGACAAATGCTAGTGCAAAAAAAGAAAAATTGCAACTACAAGAGAATTCTCAACCAGTTTACAGAGTTGGTGTTTTCATCATAATTAAACTGGGAATAATTGGTAAATGCATAAGTAACAAGTTTCTATCCATCCATAAACATTAAGTCTGTGATTGTCTCAACCACCTACCTTATCAGCCCAAAGAAAATTCAAGCAGTCAATAATTTGCAAGTGTTCCATTGGAAACACGAACCGTTAATCATCTAAAGACGACATGTTCATAGAAACAAGACTCAAATTAGGCTCGTGTACCATGCTCGATGCAGGGAACGTTCCCAGCATATACTCCTGGTGAAAGCAAGTTGGATGTTGTTGACAACGAGCAAGAAAGAACATCCTTTACTACTCAATGATCTGGTTTTCAAGTAAGAACAATGCTCCTTATCATCCCTTGCAGTCACGGTCTATCAGGGGAGTGAAACCAATTTGTTCATGTAAACCTCGTAAACATCTTACTGAAGATAAATCAAACCAAATGGGAGACCAAGGCTCAAATGACAGTTGCCAACTTCACAGTCTTCAGCTGCTATTCAATTTTATCAGCAGGATGCTACTCTTTTCTAGTCATCCCATGTTGATGCACCGCCCAATCCAATTTCATCGCTTGCTGATGAAAATTGAACAGCAGCAGCGCCAGTTACAATATTCTTCTTCTGCTTTTTCTTTTTCGGAAATGTAGCCAAACCTGCAGCTGCATCAACATTTTGTTGGTGTGTGCGGTGATTACCAACCTTCCGGCTACTGGTCAATGGATCTGATAAGTCAGAGATAAAAAGATCCGAGAAAGGAGTTTCTCCATCATCAATGGCACTTGCTTTATTTTGTTTAGCTTTCTTACTAGACTTTTTAGCTGGTTCCTTATCCTCAACATTTGAAGCTTTCTCCTTCAATACTTCACTCTTCTTCTGTTTTTTGTGCTTTCGTTCCTCTCCTGTGTCAAGTTCAATGGAATTGGTTCTTTTTTCTGCTTGTACCAACTCCTTCCTCTTACGGCCAGAAGCTTTATCAAATTCGTTAATCTTATCCTTTTTGAGCTTTGATTCCTTCTGTTCATCAGGATATGAGAGTACAGTTTCTGCTGCATCAGCAGCATTCTTGCCATTCTTCGAAAACTTGTTAGACTTTTTCACTTTGTTGTTCTCCAGGAAAGTACTCTCTTCATGGTGATCATCTAGCCCTTCCTCCAGTGGTCCACTTCTCTTTTTCTTTTTAAGCTTCCTTTCTTCCTTGCTATCCCAAACCCTGGCAATATCAAGATCACCACTTTCATTTTCATCATCGCCTCTGCCACCCTCTTCCTTTTTCATGGCCTTTTCAATAGGTTTAGCATTGAGAATCTGCAAATGCGGCACTTGTTTTTTGATCTGGCAAAGACAAAGTCTCAAATTAGTCAGCACATGATATTACATCTTGAGATTCAGAAAAAACAAAGTATCGCGCTAACCTTTTTAGCCAAATCTTCCTTTTCAGCAATGGGGTTCCCTTGCAGGTTTAAGTTTTTCAAGTTAACTAATGAAGACAGCACCTACCATAAAGCCATGCAGCCGCATATTTGGCAAGGAAATGTTTAAAGTAAGATAACTGTCAAAATAAGGAGATAGGATATATAGCAAACAAAGAAGTGTAAGAAGGAATAAATGAAGTCTACAAAAATGGCTACCTTCAGATCTGACCACTTAATGATCACATTGTTTCCGATGTCTAAGTTTTGTAGTTTTATATTAAAAGCCAACTCACTAGGAAGTGTCTGTGAAACAATGGAGAGGAAGTAAAATTAGAAAAATAAACAGTTAGCGATAATTCAGGAAGCATCTGCAAATCCAGCATAACGGATAATTAGCTGTAAGAACTTACCTTAATATCATTATGAGCAAGTCGTAGCTCCTTTAACTCAGTGCAGGATTTAAGTGAAGAGTCAACACCTTGTAGTTGGCAATTAGAGAGAGATAACTAGAAGACCAGTGCACATATGGTGTTAGGACACGGTAAACAGTAAACACCATAATGAATCATCATGAAGTAGAAGATAAACAGGAAATACAAAGTTTCACTTACTTTTGTGATTGAGTTGATTTTGGCTAGACTCTGGCCAATTCCAGATATTGGATTTCTAGATAGAACTGCAATAGATACCAAAGGCATAAAGACACTTTCAATATAACTGATTATTTGGAAAAAATGAAATACAATTAAATTAATTTAATTTTGACATTGAAATACAGAAAGGCCGAAAACCACACAAAGCCAATCACCATTCATCTCGATACAATATGTGGTGGTGGCACAAAAAGTCATCTAGTATCATTCAACCATCAGTCTTTTACAGTCTAAGTAGCACTAGCAGTTTGCCTGATAATCACATAGGGTGAGTAACAGCAACTGCTTACACAACACAAGTAGCAAATTAGATTTCAGAAAAGCCAATGGCGGCTAATAACAGTCTCTTGATCCCTCTAAAGTCTTCTCAAGGATGAATTTTCACTATTCAGTATAAAAATCATAAAAGAGATGGTCGAATTAACAATAAACTGATACTGGTCAAGATAAGAAAAATGGCATTAGTTAGGTTATACAAGAGCAGGAGAGGCGTCCTAAATTCTAAATTATCTTAATAGCCCAAATCATGAAACAAGTAAAAAGTTTATGATACGGAATAGAAAAGAAAACACTAAAGATTGTTATTTTTATCCTTTGACCCAAAATACAACTATTCAAGATGTAACTAACTACCAAAACCTTGCTATCTTATTGATTCCAAACCCTGTTCCCTAAATGGATGATTGGGAGGCCAGCCAATTTCATCTAATTCCTTTAATTAACATGTATCTCTATGACTAAAAGCTGTCTCAGTTTTCCCTTTAAAACTAAATGCCAAGGAATTTAAAATAATAGCAACCAAGGTATGAGGCTTTGAGATTTCTCATGAGATGTATTCTCGTTCTCTTGAGTGGATCTTGGCAATATCATTACAAGTTCAACCTCCAGAAACCCAAAAGTGTCCCCACAATCAGTCACAGTAATTTTATTTTTTTTGGATTTATACTGCCAATGTTATAAATTACTATATTTCCTATTAAGAGAGCATTCTTAATTTTAAGAACTGTGAATCTATTCTCCTGATCTGTGCACAGTTAGCAGAATGACAAACTGTATATTACACCATGCTCAATCCCACACTAATCATTGATTATGAAAATATAAAATTAGAAAGGTAGGAACTCATACCCAATGTATTCAACTCTTTCATTTTATCAAGCTTGCAAATTGAAACAATGTCATTGTCTACCACAGAAAGAAAAAAGTAGGTCAGTATAAAAACCAATTATCCAGCAAATACTAATCTCTGATGGAGAAACACAGTGGTACATATACAGAAGCTCACCATTCAAAATCAGTGCTCGCAAGTTCACAAGACCACTGACCTCGTCCATAGATTTGAGCTTGTTTTTTCCGGCATTCAGTACCTGGTAAATAAGGAAGTGTGTATTAAATACCAAAAACCTTTTTTTCCTCTTTTAGATGTAAACATCAAAGACCAATCAGTTCAGAATCCATCAACTGATGCTGTAAGAAGTTCAAAATATGAAACAAAAACGAAAAAATGTTGTGACACAATTGCAACGGGGTTAACTTTTTCTGATAAGGTAATGCAGTGAGCTTAAGGAGGGGTCTTGAAGGGAAAGGAGAGGTTTGTTAGTATTTTGGCTATAAAGTCGGTAACCGAAAGTGTGGTATGATGTCACAATACTGAAGGATATGTAGGGACCAACTATTTAAATTATTTAAGAGGGAATAAGCAGAAAATTATGGGGGGAGATTAAAATTTTAAGAGGCCCATAGAGGACAGCGAGTGGGATGAGGCTGAGGAGTGCCTACAGATATCAGAATATACCAATGTCTAATAGATAAATTGGGGTGACAAAAAGATATGGAGCGTGTTGAGAGAAAAATCACTCGAGTGAAACCTTGTTAGATGGAGTTACCAAAGGTAAGGAGAAGAGGGAGGTGTAAAAGAAAATATCAAAGGTGTGCAGTATGAAATTTAATCTTAACTGCAGAAAATTTGAGGAAGCCGTGAATCATCGTGAATTTGTTGTGTAGCATCACATCAATGATATGGAACTTGGCGTTTTTATCTTTTTTATTGTTTAATATGTGCTAGGAAAGACAGTGAATCAATCATAGGCAAGCTTGAAGAATAACACAGTCATGCCTCTTTTGGCTTATTTGGAAACTGAAATGCGGAAAATATGAGGTTATTCCATACTAGTGAAAATAATGTAAAGGAGTCTGTAAAATCGTGTTTGCTCATTTATTTTAAAAATGAAGAAAAAAAGATTGAACATACAAGTCCTAGGTAGTATGTCCCAAAAATATAGATGGATATCAGCACTCTTGACTAAAATTTTCATCTCCTGCTCAAGCATAAAAAAATTATAGTTACTCATTCTGACATGTGAAATTATTGTTGTCCATGCCCCCCAATCTTCACTTCGATATGTTCCACTATCAACCAATCAATTTCCAAATGCCAAGAAGAAGCTAAAACCGAGAAAGCGTCTTTTCGACAATTATAACTGTGGAAAAGGATATTCTAAGCAAAATGGACAGAAAAATGCTACTCTTATCCTCTAAACACAGAAAAAATCAAAAGAAATGAGAACTGCTGAAAATACATGGTGTATAAAAATGTATGCAAAAGTTTGAAAAATGGAACTAAGACACTTCAGAATTGACACACTCAAACAATAATGATGTTAAGCTAGAAACTCCAATTTGAAGAAGTGCTCAAAAGAAGAAAATCAGTTAATAAAGCATGTTCATAAACAAAAGAATAAAAAGATAGCAAAACATGAACCAAATGTACAACTCACAGTCAGTTTGACAAGTCCTTCAATCCCTTTCAAGCTCTGAAGTTTGTTTTGCAACACAGAGAGCCACTTCAAATTCGCACATAACTTCAACCCCTAAAATCCAAAATAAAAATCAGATCTTTGGCTGAAACATTCAGTAGTCCAATCTTAGTAGGCATTTGGACATAAAAAAAACATGATATTTGAAAAGAAAAAACGAAGTATTATCGAAGTTGTGATTAGATATGCATTTAACTTTAACAACAGCAACATACCCAATATAGTCCCACAAGGTGGTGTCTACAGAGGGTACAGTGAACACAGACCTAACCCCTACCTCACAAAGGTAAAGAGATGCATTTAACTTGAACAAATGTAGAAACTTTGTGACTGGAAATTGGGGGTAGGGGAGGGGATTACAAGGCGGGGAATACAATCTTCACCAACAAGATGAGAGTTCAAACTTGAACTAATCTTCACAATTATTTTTTTTTTAAAAAAAAACAGTCTAAACTCTAATTGTACAACTAAAAGCTGTCTTGAGGGGGGAAATTCATATCCAAACAAGGCACTAAACAACTCAAATAAAGGAAGATTCTTTTTAAAAAAAAATTTTTACCTCTAGGGAAGTTAAATTGTTGAACCCAAGATCAAGCTTCTGCAAATTTTCAAATTCGCTCAAACAGGATACCTGCACATAAAGATGAAATCTTGAAAATGCAATATGAAATAGTACAAAAATTGAAACTTTTTTTGTTTTTTTGGTCAGAAACTGGAAATTGTACATCAGAAAGAGCTTTGTGAGTGAGGGTAAGTGATGTAATTGAGCTGGGGTCAGTAGTGTTGTTGTCTTTCAACACTTGCTTTGAGCTCAACACAGCCATGGTGAGTTTACTGGGATTAGGGTTTTAGGCTTAAACCTTGGCCTTATATTCTATTTATTACTCCCTCCGTCCACAATTGTTTGTCAGGTAAGGTCATGCACACCCTTCAAGGAAAATTTAATACAAGGTGTAATTTAATTAATATAACCCTACTATACCAAGAATACCAAAAGTTTACATAACTTTTCAACTGAACTACACTATCATTAAGGGCAGAATTGGAAAAAAGTGATTGATTATTTCTTGATTGTTTAAATTGACAATTAATCTTGGACATCTATTTTTAGTATACCTGCCAAACAATTGTGGACGGAGGTAGTACTATTTATGAGGGTTGGAGATGGTCTGAACTTGCAAATATTTTAGGTAAGTAATTAAAAGATATTATTTAAAAATATTTATATGTAATCTAACCCTACAAAGATGAAGTATTGTATTGTATTGAAATTTATCGTTAAATAATGATAAAATTTTTATTTAATATGGCAAATGATTGAGTATAATTAAATTATTCAGTTCTTCAAATAATTGACACACTATTATAAAACGATTAAAATTATATAATTTATTCAAATATTACATTTATCTAAATAATATAACATGATATATCATACATCATAGAATAATATATAACAACTCTCCAAAAAAAATATAAATGTTAACACATTTAAATTGTCTAAAAAAAATTTAAGCATATAAACTTAAAGCACTTGAGCTTATTTCTTAAGAGGTAATAGTAAAAAAAAAACAAATTATTATCTATTCATAAATTTCATATTTCAACTATTAATTATTTATTTAAATTAGTACTTTTTTACTAATAAATTTTGATGCATTGGTGGGAAATAAATAAGAAAAATTACATAAATATACAATATAAAATATCATAATCTTTAAAATTTCTTACTATTTAAAAAAATTACAAAAATCCCTCTTGTATACATTTCTATCCCTCTCAAATACCTTCCTATCCCCTCTTAAATTCATTTCTATCCCTGAATACTAGGGCTGTTCAAAATCGAACTGAAATGATAACTCGAATCGAAAAAAAGTTATTGATTCATCGCTAATAGATTATTGGTTTAACGATTTTGATTTTTTTTTATTATTGGGATATCGATTCTTAACGGTTTGATGTTTTTTCTTGACGGGTTAACCGATAACCCAATAGTAAATTAATAAATTATATTTATACCATTTTGATATATAAAATCCTTGACTTAGGACTTAGTTTTATATTTTTATTTATGACAGTCTCAAACTTTTGGTTTTTCTACAATGTGTTAGTGTTGTATTTTAGCAATATACAATTTATCAACTCATATGCATGCCTTTTTGGTTTGTCACCATGTTTCTACGTGATTTTTAATTATTTATTTTTTGTGTCAAATTTTAACGGTTAAATCGATAACCGAACAGATAACGATCAATAACCAATAAATCGATAACCGATAAGTCAATATCTTAATGGTTCTTAACGGTTTAGGATGTCTACAAATCGATAACCAATTGATTGAACCGATAAATTTTAAAACCGAATCGATTGATATGCAGCCCTACTGAATATAATGTATAATTTGTAATGTATCAAACAACAAAGAATATATCCGAAAATAATAAAAAATCTAAAAAACTTTTGAAATAGAATATATATAGACCATATAGTATATTTATGTGAGTTTCCCAATAAAAAATAACTTAAACATTAGATGTGTTTTGATACTATATTAAAAGGAGTGATATATGGCCCAATAAAAGGAGATATTTTGCTTCTCCACAATTATCAAGCAATTTTTTTTGCAGAAGATAAAAGAGTGAAGCAAAATTTTCGAACTCCAAAATATATACTGTATATGAATTCTGTATCATACATACGAACTGAAATGGTGCTACCATTGTGTATTCCCAATCACTCTCACCTTCTCCCCCCTTTAAGCTCATTCGATTTCTCTCCTGCGGCACCGCAACGCCGCCGTGCACGGCCCAGAGTCACGACTGTACTATCCGTCCTCAAAACATCTCGACCCGGTAATGAATATACATGTTTTATTGAAAGAATTTTGAATTTTGTTACTACCCATTTGAGTAATTTGCTCGATAATTACCTTTCCTCAGAGAATTGTGAATCTTGTAACTACCCATTTGAGTAATTTGCATTTCTTCTTCTTCTTGCTAAAGTGATTCAGTAGCTGGAAACTCAATAGTTACCTTTTTTTATGAGAGAATTGTAAATTTTATAACCACCCATTTGAGCAATTTGCTGTTTTTCTTCTTCTTGTTCAAGTGACCCGGTAGCTGGAAACTCAATAGTTGCTTTTTCTGAGAGAACTGTGAATTTTATTAATTAGCGTTTTTCGTGTTTTTGTTCAACTGACCCAGTAGCTGGAAACTCAACTTAACTATTTGTGAAAGCATTGTGGAATTTTTAACTACCCATTTGAGTAATTTGTGTTTTTTAGTCTTCTTGCCCTAGTGACTTTGTTGCCGGAAACTAAAGAATAATGCTTTTTGAAAGCATTGTGAAATTTATACTGCCCATTTGTGTAATTTCTTTTTTAATCTTCTTGTCCCAGTGAGTGAAGTCACAGTGGATGATGTTCTCCGAGGTTTCTTGAGGGAAAGAGAGTTAAATGGGGATGTTATCTCGAGAATTTCTGATAGAATCTGGCTGAGGAATGTGGCTGGTTTTGATTCTGCAGAAGCTGGAAGTTGGACAAGTGAGGCTACTCAATCAGAGGAGGTATTTTGTTGGTTGCCCTTTTGTTTTCCAAGTTTTTTGTATTGGTTTGCTTGCATTTGAACTTTGAAACAAAAGGATGCCAATGCAGGTATCAGGGGAAGATAATGAAGGTGGGTTTTTGAAGTTGAAAAGTACCAAAGAGTGGCTTTCAGGTGATGCCACGGCGCCAGTTAATAAAAAGAGGACCTTTAAGGTGTTCATTAATAAGTTTTTGTTCTTTTTAATGGTGTTTTGAATATTGTGATTCATGAGTAGTTAGATTTTTGCTATTGATGCTTCTAATGATATGCACAGGAAATACAAGATGACAGGGAAAGAACGAAAAGGCTAAACTTTCTCCAATATGAAGCTGTACGTCCCGGTCAAGCATCTATGTTCTTGCTATTTTATATTTCTAAACATTTATAATTGCATAGCATTGGAATTCAAATACCACTGGTTTAGAAAGTGGAGACTCTACTCATAATCTTTTTTGCTGGCCATCATCCTTATGACCTTATTGTGGTTCATGTTGTTTTATTTACTTTGGTGAAAGGTTGTCCAAAAGAAAAGGGGCTTCTTGATATTGCATTTGCCAATTTTTGACGTCTTAGATGGAGTACATTATTAACACCCTGAACTTTTTCTTCTGTGTTTGTATTATCTCCTACTTCCAAAAATCTTTGTATCGTTATTGGAGAAAACGGGATATATTGTAGAATTTTATTGATGAAAGGTAGTCTGAATGGTTCTATGAGCACCTACACTATGCATGCTTAGTGTGATCCGTTCAATGATTTATATAATAAGTATTTACCAACTTTTAAGAGTAAAATGAGTAGCTAGGGGCTGTTACTTGCATATGCTCACTGGCTGGACTTCTTCAGGTGTCTCGTAATAATTTTTGTCATTAAGCGTGAAAGATGCTAGTTCTCAAGTAGAAGACACCATTGTGTTTACCTGGATAAAAATCCTGCTGCTCCGAAGTGTATGAAAAGTGACAAGGAAAGGATTTCTCTGACTATGAAAACATGGTATCCAATTAAAAGAGAATATCTTCGCTGAGATGCACAAAACAGATGTCTGCAAATGAATTAAACTATGTTTTGTTCTTAATGTACGAGGCTTAGATCATTTTTCTATTCCTCTTGCAGCTTAAGAGGGAGCTACTTTTCTTAACGGTGGGCATTGGGACTGCTTGCAGTGGATATTGTTTGGTAGTTTTATCAGTCCAGGTATTTGGTAGATTTTTTTACATGTTCTGAGGTCATGAGACATTCTATAATAGAAGGCATAGAGTGTTTTGTCACAACCATTGATGGCTATGCTTAGTTGTGCTATATTTATCTAAATCTTCACTTGAGCTAGGAAAGCAGTGGAGAGCACATGCGTGTAAATCACAATTAGTGATTGATTTACTGCAATTGGGAAAGCTTACAATGGAGAGGGAGCCACTGAGTTCATACTATCTTACAGTTACTGTTCTAATAATAACCACCCAACCAATTTAGTAGAACAACTTCTGTTCCAATTAAACGTTCTTCCCATTTCCACTTCTTTCTTGACGAGAAAAAACTGGTTTGGTTTTATTAACCTTTTTCACTGGGTTATTTATCTTAGTCTACCTTATGAAAGCGGTTTCAGGCTAGAAATATTTGCATCCACAGTGGACTGACAGATTTACTTATTCAATCTGTAGGCTGCTCTGAGCTATGCAACAGGAGTTGTTTTCAGGTTTGATTTATAACTATTTTTAACTCCATCTATCTTGTTTACCAATCCTTCTACTACTTGTAAACAACCCAGTTTGGCACATTTAGGCAGTTAAAAATGGATAGCATAGAATATCTAGAAATATGATTTTACATCATCTAGGCGTTACAAGTATGTTTTTGGTAGAATCTTTACATTTGGACTACTCTTTTGTTTATGTTTCCATAAAATCGGCTGCATCATCTTCAATTCGGTTTATTTCTCTGGGTAATGTTGTCTGTAATTTCTTATGCAGTTGTCTGTACTATCAGCTCCTCTGCCAACATGCAGACAATCTCTCACAAGAGACAGTTCCTGATATTTTCACGAAAAAGAAAATTAAGAAGTAATGTCATAACTTAACTATGTTTCTGTTTGGTTATACTCCACATAAGAATGGTGAACTTAATTGATTGGATGATCTAATATTTCTTCCCCTCAGAATCGGAATACGAAGTGAAGATCTGCAGGATTTTTTTGAGAGATCTGTTAAAGGCAGCAGCATTGCTCTTTCATCTCCCAGGCTTGTGATTCCTGCTGCAATATATGGATTGTGGGAATTGTCTCAGCATTTTACCCTTGATCTATTTGATTTTCAGGTAATGCTGTGTACATTTACGACATTTGAATTAACACCTATTTATACATTTAATTTAAGATCTTGACTTATTTATGCTATCCTCTGATTGTGGCTGTTGATCAGTTAATGTGACATATGTTTGGGATCTTAACAGCTGGTTCCTGCCATGGTTGGGTTGTTTGTATATAAAGCAGCTTGCCTGGTGCAAGTCTATAGAGACAATGAAGACCTTCAATTTCTTTTTCCTGGGAATGAAGAAGGGTCCGGTGACTGAATATCTGGAATATGTTAATAATAAATGTTACTTGTTGATGCCATGGCAAGGTTGTATGCCTACCTGACTACACCTTCTGGGTAATGACTCTTTCTAAAGCTTTTAGTCATCTCAAAAGTTTTGTGGATACCAAAAACCATCGGTTGAGGACTTCTCTCCTTTCAATTTATGATTCATATGAAGTTCTAGAGAATTGACCACCATGAACTTTCCAATGAATGCAATTAAGAATCATTTTAAAAGAACTTGGAAACATACCTCAAATACTTCTTTTTCTGTGGTAAAGATATATATGTACTCCACAAAAAACCTTTAAAAATTTATATGATATTTTCTTATATATTAGTGCAAGTACATGAAAATATGTTCTTATTAATCAACATACCTTGTAATACTATATACATGCTATACAGGCTTATTTACGTACTGTATTACTTACTGGTAAACATTACTCTGTCAAGGAAGTCCCTGTACTTTAAAAAAAGAAGGTGTTTCCATAGTTCCTTAAAGTTCTTTGAGGCCAAAAGTGCTTTGATCCTTTCTGCACTTCTTATATATTTGATGCTTCCTACAACAACATACCCAATGTAATCCCATAAGTGGGGTCTTGGAAGGTTGGTGTGTATGCTGCTTTACCACCTTGTGAAGATAGAGAGGTTGTTTCCGTTAGCCCCTCGGCTAAAGTGTAAAGCATATCAAATCAGGTATGAAAAGGAAATACAGTAGTGAAGAATCCATGCTGAAAAATAATGGAGAAAAGAATAGTAGCAATAGCAAATAATGCGATAATCAAAAGCAAGGGAAATAACAAGTAAGAATAAAATCGAAGAAATATTTAATGCTTCCTCACTCCCAAAATGAAGTTGTTCAATTACTTCGAACTCTTAGATACTTTTCTACATGTGCCCCCCCCGCACACACACATACACACAAAAGGATGAGACATCTTGGAGAATTTATCATGCAATAGGAACTAGGTACCAACTGTCTGCTATGGCTAGGGAGTAGCTTTTGCCTACAGAGGAGCAATATGTGTAATGTGAGTATCAGAGATACTATTGAAGTAATTGAGATACCAAGTGGTTATGTCGTAGTTCTTTAGCTTAGAAGAAATACACATGAGGATCTAAGTGAATTGGCTTTGAAGATAGGGAATGACTTGGCAAAGGAAGGATCATGTTCTCATAAATAATATCTAGAGAAAGAGCTTTGTTCTTGCTTATTAACACACACACATATAGCTAGAGGGCGTGCGGGGGGGGGGGGGGGGGAGGTACCCATACTACCAAAGTAAGAAGGCTTAGTAGTTCAGTGGCAAAATGTAGTGTCTGAACTCCCCAAATATAAACCAGATGATTAAAGAGCACTAAGGTAGAGTTCAACTAGTACCACGAGGGATAGATGTAGAGAATATCTTTTTTTTTGGATCGTACGAGTAGAGAAGATACCCCAACCAATTCTTGGATTGGACTAGAAATTTCAAGTGTAATTTGATCATAATCAGATAGGAAGGACATTTGGTTGTGGTTGTGGGGCATGATGATTCTGGAAACTTTTCTGGTTACAAATGGAACCTAAGTATCTGTATAACCCAACATTATCTTTTCCTCTCTAATAGAAGTATGTTAGCCCCCATTCTCAAACCATGAGGTGTTCATTGAGTCTAAAGTTTTGGTTTCTTCCATCTCACCATTCTTTTTATGCACATTTCTTTTCTTCTCCTTTCCTATTTCTTCCAAAATGACTATCCAATCTGATGAGATTCGTCAATGGTTGGCTGTGGCAAGTCTGATGTCGCAAATTCCACTCTAAATTTAAGAACTCCGAGCTTTGCAGATATACTTAAGGATGGGATGTTCTAAGTAAGAGAAGTTTGAGAGATTGATTGTCTGAGTAATAGCTGCAGACGGAGGAAGAAAATTCTAGTAACTGTTGTATTATGTTGTGCCTGTAACAAAAAAATTTAGCAATCGGGGTGGCCCAGTGGTTTAGGCTTGGGACTTCCATGTTGGAGGTCTCAAGTTTGAAACCCCTTGCCAGCGAAAGCAAGGGATTTGCCTTCTGGGTCGAGCTCGTCGCACCGGGCTTGCCTACTGCGGGTTACTTCTCCCGTGTGGTTTGTGAGCTATTGCATAGGAGCGGGGTTTTACCCAATGTGCACCCAAAGGGTAGCGGCTGCGGGTTTCCCTTGTCATAAAAAAAAGAGGACTGAGGCAGATAGGGTTTGGAGACAAATGGCGTAAATGGATAGGTTTTTGCATCAAAATTGTCAGGTTCTCCATACTTGTTAATGGAGAACCTGCTGGTTTTTCTCCTTCTGAGAGAGGACTACGACAAGGAGATCCTCTCTCCCCTTTCCTATTTGTCTTAACAGTATGATTAGAGTGGCCAATCAGAACAACTGGATAAAGGGCTTCAACATTGGTAATCAGTCAGGGTCAATTTGAAAATATGTCACCTTTTATATGCAGATGACACACTTATATTTTGCGATGCAAAGGTAGAACAAGTTAGTTACATTAGAGTTGTTTTGGTGATTTTTGAGGCCATCTCCGGACTGGCTGTGAACGGGGGGAAAAACGGCATCTTCCAAATCAAGGAAGTGGCAAATATTCAGCTGTTGGCAAGTATCTTGCAATGCAAGATAGAGCACTTACCAACTACTTATTTGGGAATGCCTTTAGGGAATAATCACAAGGAGCTTGAGATTTGGGATGGAATCATTGAGAAGACAGAGAAGAGGTTGGCTAATTGGAAGGCAAACTATCTATCTCTGGGAAGAAGAGTCACTCTGATCAATTCAGTTCTGGATGCGTTGCCTACATATGTTATGTCACTTTTCCCTTTACCAGCAAAGGTAGAAGAAAGGCTGGATAAATTGAGGCGTGATTTTCTATGGTCGGGGAACAAAGAAAGGAAAAAAATACACTTAGTTAAATGACAGACATCCTTACTAAGCAAGAAGACAGGAGGTCTTGGCATAAAAAATATGAGGGTCCAGAACAAAAGTTTACTTTCTAAATGGCTTTGGAGATTTGTGGTTGAAGATCAGGCATTATGGAGAAAAGCAATTCTCAACAAGTATGGGCAGACCGAGGAGTGGGTGTCTAATGTAGTAGATAGCACGTATGGGGTATCAGTTTGGAGATCAATCAGAAATTTATGGGATAGTCTAAAGGAGAATTTGGTGGTCAAGGTGGGAGAGGGTAACAAAATATTTTTTTGGAAGGACAAGTGGATTGGACAAGAGTGTTTAAACTCGGTCTTCCCCGATCTTTTTTTTTTGTACCAATCCTGAGGCTAAAATTGCTGAGATTTGGTCCATCAGGGATAGAACCTCACTTTCAGGAGAAATCTAAATGATTGGGAAGTGGATAGAATTGCTGAACTGCTACTCAAATTGGGTGAATTCACAGGCCCTACTACAGAAGCAGATGGTATAAGATGGAAACATAACTCTAATGGTAAGCTCTCTGTGCGTAGACTGTATAAGAGAGAGATCATGACTCACTCTGGGGGAATTCTTGGCCCATGGAAACAAATATGGAAGGGCAACACCCCAACCAAGGTGAAATGCTTCACCTGGTTGGTTATCAGAAGGGCATGTCTCACTCAGGAAAAACTCAAGAAAAGAGGCTTCCAGATTGTCTCCAGATGTTTTTTTTGTCATGAGAAGGAAGAAACTAACAACCACTTATTCCTACACTGTAGGGTTACTGTACAGGTGTGGCGCATGGTTCTCAGTATTTCTCAAGAACCCTGGGTGATCTTTTGAGCTGCTGGATGAGGAGGGGGGAGCAAGACCCAAAAAAGATGGTGGTCTATAGTACCTACTTGTGTCTGATGGGCTATTTGGAGAGAAAGAAACCTTAGGTGTCATGAGAATATTACTAACTCTATTCAGAAAGTTAAAGAAAATTGCATTTTTGGTGTAAAGAAGATGGTATAGAAGAAGTAGAACAGTTGGTAGATTTCCTAGGATCTATGTAATTATGGTTTCAGCTTGTAACTTTTTGGAGGTAGCCAGCATACCCTTAATGCTGAAGAATACAACTTTTAACTTTTATCAAAAAAAAAAAAAAAAGAGGACTGAACCAGATATTAGTAAAAGGATAATTGCTTCTTTCACTTTAGCATGATGTATGGGTTAGGCACATGACATGTGTTTGAACTCTACTGAAGACCAAAGCCTAATATCAAAGTGAGGAAGGCTAGAGCGGGTCCATTATCCTTCGAGTTTTAAGCTATGTGCCTCTGGACCTTAGGGATTTCTCAGTTATTAAAAAAAGATAATGCATCTGTCACCATGTATTGCGGTGTGTGATAAAGAAGAACAACTTCGTGAATGTTATTTCAGACGAAATATAAACAAGATTCTGCCATAGAATCAAATACCTAAACTTGAAATCGCTTGTAGGGTCGTATATCACATCTCTACTTATACAGTTTTGTGGTTTGGATTTTACATTCTATTTTGATCTTGCTGTTAATGAGCATGCCATAGAAACAAGACTATGTCCTTTCTTTTGCTCTTTAACACCACTTCTTCTGCAGCCTAACAGAGAGTAACCGACAAACAGCAAGCTGAATTTTGCAGAATAGGACAAGCTTTATGATGTCTTGCCTGTTAAGAAAGCAGGATCGAAGGGATGAATATTCCACTGCCAGGCTTCGAGAGTAAAAAGTTCATTCGAAAGATTGATGATAGACATCCACAGAACATTTTGTAGAGACATCTCTAGTAGAGTGATGTATAGAATATATATAGAGCACTGTTTACAAAGTATTTGACATGTTCTCCATTTCCTCTTAAGCATCTTTGTGAGGGCTCATGGGGAACAACTTAAAAAGTGTTGTGTTTTAGTTTGATCCTACTTCATGTGACTTTAGCAAGTGTTAATATATTCTTGGTTGTTTCCCCTTTTAAATTTGAGTCACAAAGTGAATTATCTTTATTGTATGTTTCTTCACCATCTTTGAAAACCGATAAGTGAGGATTCCTATAGTCGATCCAACCTGTTTGTAATTGAAGCATAGTTGACAAAGTCTTTTTTCTGAAAGAGAGTTTTGATGATTGAAAAGGGGTTTACATTTCAGCTGTCAATAATCCTTTGAGAGGTTGTAAGCTGAATTTGAAATGGCATGAAGACACTTTGCATTGTATTATTTATCTGCGGAGACGGAGTTAGAATTTTTAATTTATGTATTATGAATACGTTTTTGTTTACTGTATATAGTAACTTATGGTCTTTTAGCTTATAAGTTTTGTTTGATTGAACTATTTTTTAAATTATTTTATCTATGATATATTTTCTAATTCTCAAAATATTCCTCCTAAATAAAATCCTTTATTCCTCTCCATTCCATTTATATGGTTGGTTTTTTCTCCATGGATATAATTTATAAGTTTTTATTGAGACCAACTCTGAAGACATTAGCCATGTGAACATGAAACTTGCTTATCAATCCTTCTTTTATCAAATTTTATTATGAGTTTCAACTAGCACAGTTTAAAATCAAATCGGAATCGATAATCCTAATCGAAAAAAGTTATCGATTTATTGGTAATGAGGCATTGGTTTAATGATTTCGGTAATGATTTTGATTTTTTTTTATTATCGATTATTAGTTTTTAGCGGTTTGAGATTTTTTCTTAACGGGTTAACTGATAACATAATAGTAAATTATTAAATTATATTTATCTTTCGGTATATAAAGTGTTTGACTTATAGTTTAGTTTTCATACTCTAATTTTTTTTACTGTCTCAAACTCTCGGTCATTTTATTATGTGCCAGTGTCTGCTTTCGAACAAGATGCAATCTGTCAACTCATGTGTATGATTCATTTGGTTTGTCACTTTATTTCTAACTTTTAAGTGACCTTCAATTATTATTATTTTGTATTAAATCTTAATGGTTAAATCGATAACTATCAATAATCAATAAACCAATATCTTAGTTGTTCTATAGCGATTTAGCATATTTACCAAATAACCAATTCATAGAACAAATAAATTTAAAATCAAATCAAACCGATCGACACACAACATGATATTTTAACAATACAACACAACGGATAACAACAATCCAAACATGACGAGTTGACTGATTCGTTTCTATTTGTTTGGCTTAATTCAGTATTAGTATTTATATAAACAAAAAATATTACTAATAATAATTATGACTTTTTTTATAAAAAAAAATTCAATAAACTTTATTCATCACTTCCACTACCACTCCAGAAAAGACACTTCCATTACAATACGCAGCCTATTAGCATCAATCCATCCATCGGATAATTTCTCTTCTGCAGAACCCTATCCCCCACGCCCACCCCCAGCAGCCATTCTTCAATGGCGAATTCTCAGAGACGGCCGGCGGCATTGGATCCCGTCTACTATCCGGTAGTAGCATTGGCGTTAATCCTTGTCGCATGTGTTGACTTCTGCGACGCCGTCACGGTCGTCGACGTTTATCGGCTGGTTCAGTATGATCTCTCCGGCGTTCCTTTCGGATCTCGGCTTGCTACTCTCAATCACCACGCTGGCTCGTCGTTCTTCGCTTCTAGCTCAACTGTAGATCTCTCTCGCACTGTACTCATGCTTCCTGTTCGTGAATTGGACCTCGATCTCATTAAAGGTTCGCTGCTTCTATATACTGCTTGTTATCTGAAAATCCTTATTTTGCTTTTATTAGCTATAGTTAAGCTCAGAAGCTCGTTCGTTATTTTCAATGATTTTGGTTCAGCTGCTTCTTTTTTTTTTTTCCAGTTTTATTAAGAAAAAGTGATCTTTAAGTAGTTGTTTTAATAGGTGCAATTGCGGTAACAATAGAAAGTTTCTGTTGAAACTCGAAGTTGTTGCTTTAACCAAATCATAACTACATTTTAAAGTTGTTTTATTTATTCAATAATGGCATAGATGAATTTAGTGTTACGAAGTTGCATGTACTAGCCATTGTTCAGCTATGTAGCTCGTTCATTATTGTCAGTGATTTTTGATAGCAATTGCTACATTTTTTTAGGATGAAGTAAGAAGTTCCATTAAATGGCATCAGGAAGATGCAAAAGGTACAAAAGAGAATGTTTTATCTCCAATACATCTAATGAAACTATGCTAAGATAAGGGAGCTAGCTAACAAAGTCCAGAAAATGATCACGTCTATTTACAGGGGTTAGGTTGCTCCAGCTAAAATAAATAAGTAAATGTCTAGTTTTAGGGAGTGGTTTGGAGATGAAATTCCATTGAGACTTCTATTGTTCCTTTCTGGGAGGATCGTTGTACAGATTTCAACTCTCTGAAATTAAGCCACTTTGCCCTCCATTGAATTGGTCTAATCTTTGCCCCCACCATTAGGAAAGTCTCTTTTTTTGTCGTTGACACCTAATGGAACTTCAAACTGAGAGTAATTTTAAACTATAGTTAAAAGTTGGGGGAGGGGGGAAGGGGGGGGGTAAATTTAGATTTCTTTTCTTGAACAATTTAGACACGGAGTCCACCTATTTCACGCTGGAGCTGCTTTGTTAATTACAAGGTCAAATACGAAACGATTTGCTAATGGCAATGGTATGGAACAACACTGAGAAAGTTCGAGTAGAACAAAGGCCAGATTTGGACCAGAAAAAACAATACAAAAGTCATTTATGCAACTATATGCTTTTAGTCACTTAGTCAACTTGATGTATAAACTTTAGGAAATGACAGTAGGTTGACAATGCTGATTAAAATATATCCTACGAAGAAAGGACAAACTGATTTAAGACTGAACAGTCTAAGAATATGGTGTATTCTCAAAAATTGAATTACTTTGTGAACAACTATTCTCAGCAGTGGGGCTCTCCTTTCACCGTTTGGGATATTGAGTTCTAGAGTCACAAAAACATGAATGCTTGACTACTACCTCATTATTTAATTGATTCCTTTGTTTTACGCATTTATATTTTCTTTTCCTGTTCTTCGCCTTGGCATTCGTTTTTAATGCGATAAGTCTGCTAAAGTACTTCTGGTTTACTTCTCTTGAACTGTTCAATTGTTGTTAACTTGTTCTGATATCATTTGTATTGCTAACTCTGCTAAAGGGTATATTAAATTCTGACAGTTGCAGAAAGAAAACTTATTCCAGAAATTCAACTTAAAAAATCTTTTGATTAAGAAAAAAAAGATCTTTTAAGTTGAATTTCTGGATCTTCAACTTAACATATCGTCTGAAAGAATATAAATTTAACCTAATAGTTGATTGTACAACATATTTGAGTACTTAGTTTTAGTGATTTGTGTTTTCCCCAATTCTTCAGTCTCTCATCTAATAGCCTTGTTCTTCCTATTTCCATTTTATTGCAGAATACATTGGACAGGGGAAGCTATTAGGGGGCTTACTTCTTTTACTGCCGCCTCAATTTAGTCCAGAAAAAGTAGAGACTGCAGTTGGTGGTGATGAAGATTTTGACCTTCTGAGAAATAAAGTGTCTGAGCTGGAACGGTTGCTTATTCATGCTAACATTCCTGTGAGGCAAACACATCCTTGAATATCTTTTTTTTTTTCTTTTTTTTTTTTTGCACCTGGTTATGTTCAGTGGTGTGATGCATGAGATTTATAGTACACCTTTATCATGTTCCTAGAGATGCCTTTGACCGTTGTCTAGGGGCTGTTTTGTTTTGTCTGGTTTATTCTAGCTGAGATTTAATCATTCATTATTAAATAGTTCTTTATTCTTTAATCATCAGCGGTTTCCCTTTTTATTTTTTTGGAAAATCAATTTTTAGTACTAGTAACCAACTACTATTTGGTGATAAAAAATGAATGTCAAATCATTTAAAGTGATGAATATGAACACTCAGAGGTAGTTTTAGTATTCAATCCTAGTAAAATCCTAAAATATTGTATATATAGGAACATGGTGACTCAGTATGAAACAGAATGTCATAGAGGCATTGACTGTGATTTGATGTGGATTATGATGACTGTGACTGATTAAATGGAATTGTATAGTATTTTTACTTTTTTGGTGTAAACAACTTTGTAAGGATGATATAAGATCAGATTATAGATTTGATAGGAAATCTGTAATTATCCCTTTTTGGAGGTAGCCAACATACCCTTAATGCTGGAGAATACAACCTTGCCAGTTTTTTAAAAAAAGAAGGTTATCTTTCGCATATGGAATATTTGCCTTTGAATTCCTTTTCGCAAGGATGAGATAAGTATAATATTATGTTAAACAATGTCCATATGTATAGTCTATCCTTCCAAGTGTTCATAGAACAAAAGAAAATTGAGCAATTTTAGTTGCAACTGCCTCTGCCTTATATGAACTAATCTAGTTATTATCATAAATCGGAAAATTGAGCAATGTATAGTCTATCCTTCCAAGTGTTCATAGAACAAAAGAAAATTGAGCAATTTTAGTTGCAACTCCCTCTGCCTTATACTATAGAGCCTAATTTTGTATTAGAACAGGGAGTTGAAGTTTCCAGAAAAGATAAGTGTAGTGCATGTTTGTAGATTCTTTACCTTTTTGTTTACCCCCTGAATATGGCTTTTTGGCCATGTTTATTAATGAAAATATTATTTACCTGATAAAAAGAGAGTGTAGTGCATGTGACTCCATTTGTATGTGATTTTATATAATTGAGTTCACTGCATTTTGTGCCAACTCCTCTCTCAAACATAGGAAAATGTGACTTTTGGTATTGGATAGAGTTTTTAATTTTGTATTGCTTATCTGCTGACTTCACCAGACTTCTCTTGCGTGGATAGCATTTGTGGTTTATTTGCATCTTCTTCATGTTGATTTCATATATATGATATAAATGTAGTGATTGTTTAACTGTATGATATTCTCTTTCAGTATCCTGTGTATTTTGCTTTTGAGGACGATAATATCAATGCTGTACTAGCTGAAGTCAAGAGAAATGATGCTAGCGGTCAA